TTTTAATATAAATGTGGGATTATACATTATATTATTGCACTGTGAATCGCAAATACCGAATCATGATCTAAGACTAATGGCATTATGTCGGCGTATTGTATATACTAATAAAGGAACATCATATATGTATATTCTTTAAATTTTGTTGTATCTTGTAAAATTAATATTGATCTTGGTAGAAAACCGTTTAGCAACTTTGCGGTTACCCTGTCAGTGGAAACGGACGAGCCTAACTAATTAAGTTGTCCGTCCCTTTTCCAACGATATTGTTAATTGACAACTCCACTTTCAACAATTCTGTAAAGCAATTGATTTTTCTTAGCCGTATATACATTTTTAGTCTTAACACTATTACTATTTTATTAAATATTATTAAAGACAACAACACAGCGGGATCCACACGACAAACTGAAACCTGCTACAATAAATCAAAAACAATGTTTTAAATAAAACTCCTAGTCTTGAATTTACCCGTTTGGCACATGGCGTTATTTCCAACGATAATGCAGTTTCCACATTCGGGTCACGCCCGTACGGATTATAGGACACCGAGGCATGTCCTTTTCCTCTATTTTTTGTGAACCACGGGTTCCAAGCCTTTTTTGTAGCGGGATTGGACTTTATATGAAAATAGACATAAAGTGAATTCGAAATGAGATATACTAATGTTGGTTTTTTGTATCTTTTAATCTAATAATTTTAACAAATTATTTTAGAAAAATAATAATTTAAAGTACAACTAAATATTGTCTCTTGAAAATAAATACATTTTTTAGAATGAATTATTTTATAAAATTACTAAATTTCAAATTTATTCATACTTCGAGTAACGGTAACCTACAAAATGAATGGGTCTACTGAAAAAAAATTCATGAACTATAACAGTTTTACGTAAAGGAAAATATGGAGAGAGAAGAGGCGCTATCAAGGCATCAGAAATAAATTCTTCTCACAGCGCTTAAGTGAAATTGAATGTAGCAAGCGTAGTCTCGATCAATATGGTACATCGAACAGATTGTACGTCGAACAAAGATTTATTAAATTACGATATAAATTGTTCAGATTTCAAGAAATAAATGACAAGTAAGTATATTTTTATATATTTCTTTGTTATGGATGTGATTAAAATTAAGATATAGAAAAATAAATATATATCATTGCCAAATTCATCTGTAAATGCTGGAAACGATACCGCATTTTTAGGAATATTGAATTCTAATCATTACAGGAACTTGTTTATGACTGCGTGTTTTTGTACTTAGTCGTCAATCTACACAAATAATCTTTTATCCAAAGCGACGTATGCAAATAAGATATTGTATACATTCATAAATTCATTTAAGACACTATAGAAATCGTAACGATACTAGAAACCAAACCTAAATTTCATAGTCAAATGAAACTTTATCCTTTGCTTCACCGGCAAAGTAATCCTGAATACATTGTCTCATTAGAGGTGGGGAATAATGAATATTGTATGCGGACAGAGTCGACCGACTACTGCATAATGACAGACAATACTCGCATTTTACAGACGCGTTTCAACTAAATGAAAATGTTGCAATCATTACAGAGGAACACATTAAATTGTTTTAATATATTGTTGGTACAATGTTTTCATTACAGCAAACAATATTGATAGTTTAATACAACTAATGCATAAACTAATGTTATGGACTGGATGGTTTGGGAATGAGAATTTGTGTGTATTTGCCTCCAGTCATAAGCTTTAATAATATAAAAAATATATATTATATAATATTTTGTTCTTAAAATTTTAATTTCAGGAAGTAAATTTTAAAATTTAAAATTTAATGTGATAGTATTTATTAATTTTTTTATAGCGAGATGTATCGATTAATTCGTTTCTCCAATCAGGTAATTTTTCATTAAACATAACATAACACAGCGTGCACGTATCCCAAATTTAGCCTCTGATAGAGAAATGAGTATCGTGTGTACCTGATTGATGCTGTGGTAATAGGAATGTTGGCATCTCGGGTCAATAGATTTATGGTATCGTCCCATCTTGTCCCGCTTTGCCGTTTGTCAGGAAGAATTGATCGTTGAATCCGGGGTCAGTAATATATTTTTATAACTAATGTAAAAAACATTCGAGGGATTTCAATAAAATATTTTTTTTCCCAAAAAAATCAATAAAATTTTATATTACAAGTTCTAAGTTGCAAATTAATTTTTTTTTAACAACTAACTTTGAAACGTTTACACCCCTGAATAGTAACACCCGCTTGATTAATACACTAATGAAGCGAATTAGGTTTGGAAAGAAACCAATAAAAATGTTTTAAGTTTTATTGAAGACAAGTACAATTAACTTATAGAAAGAAATTTTTAGAAGATATTTACAAGGAAATGTAACATTAAGATTCAAGTAATATTTAAAAGGTTTAGTGCGTAGACAACAAAACGATATATACATATAATTAATTGACTAAACAACAAATCATATAAATATTTGATTAGGATGAAACATAACATCAGAGAATGTACATTAATTATATCTAAATAATTTAACTACAAAAATTATTGCCCTAATCAGATAAAAACTACATTCGAACGTGCACAACATTTAACAGTGATTAAAATTATCTAATAACTAATTAGATCTAAACCAATAGACTTACTTTAAAAGATATAATTAAAACAACTACCTAATATATTTATAACTTAATGATAAATATTGAAAAATTGATATGCTTGATATTCTTGTTTTAAACAATTCGCTGAAGTTGAAGTTGATTTTAGCAAAAGGTTTGTTAAAAAAGTAGACCACGTCATTTTATTTATTATATAATGAAATTTCCTTCATAGATGTCAATTATAGTTCCTTCGTTTTTTTAAGTAATTTTTATTTTTTTTTGTTACATCTCTGGATAATATATTCCAGTTTAAATTTATTTATAAAATTAATTATAATTAACAATTTGTTTTGCCAGTATAAGTAAAGTTTCTTACGAAATAACTGTTGTATGTCTGTTTTATGGCCAACACTACATCTCCATAATTTTATCATTTCGTTGTACTTTATTTAATTTTATAATAATATATAAAAACGACTAAATTTAAAATATTCTTTAATAGCTATTTTCAATAAAATGAAAAGGTATGAGAAGAACTAATTTTTCTATCAACTCCAACTTCAGCAGTTTGCTTAATATATCAGCGTCATTGCTTTAGGTAACTACATTGTTAATATCTTATTAAACTACGATGTAATCACATTTTTATCGTATATTTTCGCGTGCTCTTAAGGTACGTTCACAAAAATTCGGAATTACAAAACATATAAATATTCGTTGATCGTGAAAATTGTATTAGGAAGCAAAACTCCTACGGAAAATGTACCCGCTAAAGTGTTTCAAGTGCCCTCTGTACACATTATACTCGGTGGTAAGGTTAAGGTTGTGACTGCCATCTCGCGTCTTACCTATGGACATTTTATGCTAAATAGGTATCACTTAGACTTATTCAACTAACTCTTCAGTCTTGGACGTTACACTTAAATAGAGATATTCCTAAAACCCGCGTCGAATATTCAATTTTAAAACCTTTAATAAAATTAGCGTGACATTTATGCTACAGCGTGACCACACTTCAAAGAATATCTTAATAAGGTAAAAGGGAAATATCATAGACATATAGACACACAGATTTTCAATTTACAGTAATCTAAATATTCACTCCTAAAGAGACAATTCAACAACATTATACCTACGTTAAAGTTACCATCTTGAACTTGGACAATATGAAATATTTACTAAGATTGGAAAAATCACATTTAATAATAAATAAAAAGACATTAAGACACGTTGCACGACCAAAAATTACAACATCTAAAAAGAGAAAGCGAATAATTTACAACACTCACTCACATATATCGGTAAAAGGTTTGCAAAGCCAAAAGCCCGCCTTGACACGATACTCAGTTTATCATCAAACAATTAGAAACATTCATTTTATGCTGCACTTACATAAATATTTAAGTCGTATAAATTCTTACACTTTCTGTAATTATTATATTCATATATATGTATCATACATTAAATGTGGTTTTAGAGAAGAAGATCCTTTCGATTCGAAACTCATGTACATAATTAGCATTGTTCGAAACTACAGATTATCAATAATATAACTTGAATTGGAATTGAAATAATAAACATAAATTTAAAAATTTAATAACACTAGCGTGATTGAAACAACCCATTTCTAAAATATTGCATTCAAGTTGCACCTAAACTGTTGTTCAAAAAGGCAATCGGGACAAAAAATTATAGTGCCATATTTTTTATTTAGTGTTAAATATAGCAATACAGTAATTATAGGAATACAATACATCTCTCTTCTATAATAATTTATAGATTAATACCTTGTCAGACGGGTCTTTTGGCTGCAAAATATTGGATCTTACTTATATTTAATACCTACTATATTATAAAAATTAATCGATTTCAAAAAACGAAACGATCACAAATATTGAAATTCATATTTGTATATCTAAAAACCGTTGTATAAGGGTAGCACACAATTATATAAAAATATATTGCTTAGGGTTTCAGTGGGTCGGTTTATTAAATCAGTACAAGATGCCTGTAGATAAGTTCTATTAAATGTTTGTATAAACTGCTAGTAAAAAAATCTATCAGCGAAAGCAAAAAAATACCATTGAATTTTATTTAACATTTTGTTCCCTTTCTTACACACTGCCCGTATAACATGAAAACAACAAACTCAAATTAAAAAAATACATAATTATGTTTAACATAATATACATATAACTAACATAATCACTAAAATACGAACTATAATAATAAACCTCCTTTATATAAATAATAAATCTCTTAAATATCTTAAGTTATTATACACTAAAATGTATACATAAATATTTTTAAAAAACCTTATATCTACAGATTTTTGATATGTATGTGTTACATTGATATGTATTTCATCACAACGATTATGGTATTAATTTTTTCGTCTGATCAATCCTCGGGCCAACCGAGGTCTTCGCCGATCAGGTCGTAGAAACGTTGATTATGTTGAACAAAAAACTTACGTAACTTCGTGACAACCGCTGGGTCTACGCGGGGATGCTTGCGACCTTTTGTCTCTCGCAAACACTTATCCGTGGTATCGTTACGCAAACAGTAGAATCCTTTAGTTTCGTTGAAGTAGAAGTTTCTTCTTCCTGTTATGAAATAAAGAAGTGAAATAGGACGAGTTAGTGAAGGACTTTTATGAGTATTTGACCTACATCGACCATATAGTTTACATACATATATGAAAGTTGTATAAAGTATAAATAAAAACTATTATATTAATGTCATTTGTAAGCAAAATATGTATATAATATCATATAATAAAAAGTTGTCCCTGTAGATTTAGATAAGACATTATTCTGTATCATTTAAGATGCCTCAGTGATTTATCTTAAAAAGGTAAGACACCCGCTCTGTAATATTTCATAAATAATTAATCTATGACTCTTAAAAAAAATCAATACTAACCTATTTTATGTTCAAGGCCAAGAAATTTCTCGATGCGTCGCAACTGTGGTACTGGATCTTCAATCAGCTGATCTCCGTTTACAACAAGAATCTGTTCTCTAGGAAACACTTCCAACCAGCGATGAAAGTATGCATGATACAGTGATATAGCTATTGGCCTATAAAAATAGTTAATCTTTAAAAAAACATCTAAAATAATGATTATTATAAAATATTCATATAGACATAATTAGTATTAAAAAGTCTACCTATACGCAACATTGATTGAACCATCTGGTGCCAAAGCAAGGTGCTCAAAAGGCTTAACAGTATCAGGCAAAGGATGTCCAACCAAAGAAACAGTAGGAGCTGAAGGGGTGGCACGACTACGAAGCTGGGTATAGTCCGATATTGCACGAGTGACTGGTTCTCGCACAATAAGAAGTAACCTCACTGATGAATTCATAGCACGAACTCGCTCTGGTACCTAAAATGACTCCATTAAGGTTATTTTTCTTTTATATTTATTTGCGAAATAACCATTTTATATGACATATTTCTAGCTGACAGAAAATATAGCATCGCAAACAGATGCCAGAATATTTCATCAACATTAATGTACTCTAATATAATAATTGTATATTCAGTTAATTAGGACTAGACACAAATAGAATAAAAATATTCTAAGAAATGTTATTTGCTTATCCATTTTCAAAGTGTGAATAATTCATTATTAAAGACTGAATGCTGTTTCACGAAATGGAATATTTTCTTTATCTTAATTAACTGCGGAGCACGAATATTTGGAATTCGCTTTTATTTCTGTATTTGCCAAAGAAATTGTATACACTATTTACAAAGTAAACAAGTTTGCGTACATATTGCTCGTGCCTTACCTCGGGAGTAACGAAGTAGCTGGGACTTTTTTCTATAGTTATTTGTCCCTTAAATGAAAGAGGCATTTTACTCTTGTACCATTCTAAACCGAGAGCATAATTTTCATCGCGATCAAAAAAATGAACTTCGCCGGAGGCCTTTTGTACCATAGGATGTAAATAGAGCATCTCAAGAAGAGCACGCGTTCCGCATTTTCTAACTCCTATAATAAGAGCCTGCAGAACAAAAATTATTCAACATTATTAATACATAACTATTCAAAAAATCCCTTTGGGTACTTTATTATTTCCCTCATACAACTTCTAACTAATTGTGGTATCGGGTTACAAGTAGTGCTTACTCGAGCTTATATTGGTGGCAATTTTCAGATGTCAGTACAAAAATATATGTGTCAAGAAGTTTATACCTGGGGGAGACGACGGGCTGGCCGTGGGGCGCGAGGTGTTTTTAACCTTTTCCTTAGAGCCATAGGGTGGTTTATTGTGCGACTGCTCTCTTGATTTTGTAATATCTTGCGGCCCTCGCTGGCAGCTGACGCCATACTAGCCGCCTGTAGAATTAAGCGACTAGAATTCTAACCCCAAAAATCTCAAATACATAAATATTTTAACTATATATCGTAATAATTAAAATAATTTGTATTTTTCACAAAATATGCGAGCCAACCACATTTTATACATATGTGCATAGATTTAGTAAGAATCCACAATAATGTAAGTCAACGTCATCTCATAAAAGTGACTTTATTTGTGTATTCAATTCTACACCTCTAACAAATATTTAAATTCCATGGAAAGTCTGAGCCAGACTAATAAAATGTTGATCCGACTTACGACCTTCCTGCCATTTTATTCTCCTCGAGAGAGTGCCCTTATTTTTGAACCCCTTATTTTTATCACAATCCCTACACACCAATTAGAACAACATTAATTCTACGTCTTATTTTCAGGGACACTAGCCTGTTTCGAAATGAATTCTTAATAAAACCAATCAATATTAACTGATTTGTTTCCACTATTGAATGCCTTTTGTGACCATTCAATTGTGATTTATCATTTACGGTTTTACTGAGTTGTGGAGCACCGGTAGTAGTTGTTTACTGAGAAATAATATTTCCTTCAATAAAAATATATGTAGCAACTGTCAATTATATAACTAATGCAAGGCTAGCAAAAAATATTTCATTCAAATTTAAAGTTGTTAATATTTTTATTCAACTAAGATTTCAATCTTCTGATTTTGGATAATAAATAATCTGTAACGATGTGAATATTCAAAATCTTATTTAAAATATATTCATGTCTATATCGACAAGACTGAACTCATTTCGATTTCTTTCAATCCGATCAATTTCAAGACCTAATAAATTCGTTGTTCAATTTTTAGACTCTTCGATGACGAAAGCATATAGATTAAATATATAAGGAAAAGAAAACGTGAAATAATTCTGATAAGTTAATCAAAATATAGAAGTCAATAAAGTTTAATTTAAGTGTATACCCATCTCGTAAAAATTAGGTAGTTCGTTTCCCAATAAAATAGAATGGATGTTCCTTATAATTGTAAATTATTTACGGCTAAACTTCTTGATTTTATCAAAAGCTTCTGGTACATATCGTAAAACCCCTCTAACTTTGGAAATATACAACCAAGTAATAAAACAAGATCATGGTTCAATTTGGTGTGAGCTAATATAACTCTAAAGACTTAAAGTATAAAGTACAATATTGTCTATTCAAATGGTATTTATGCACCAGTACATAGTTGTGTGATAGCATCTAAGGAGTTTATGGGAACATTAATTACACTTTAGGCTATATTCCGCGATAGTCTTTGGGTTTGGCCGCCCTACCCCTTGTCTATATATATGTATATATGAAACACCGTGAAAAAACACTTAAAAATAAAAGTTAGATTTATATTTATAGCATCAAAAGATAAAATTATTATTCAGCATTAAAATAATAAAAATAAACCTAGGACTACATTAATGTGTTTAAGCTTTTATTTAAATTAAACAAGTAAAACTGAATGGCTTTAGAAAATAGGTGAAATGTTATTTAATATTCATTTCAACATAAAAACATAAAATTTAGCTTCATAATTTGTAAAGCCATATATTTTTTATTCTCTTAATCATTTCTTTTACTAATTTTTATTATTGTTTTTTATAATCACATATAAGTAATTGCAACATAAAAAATATTTTTATAATATATGGCTCAATACAGAATTTACAATACGATAAATGGCTTTATTCACTGCAAGAGAATAACACTTTAATAGCAAGTTGTATTTCAAATCCATCGATAGCATTGGACCAATTTAGTAACATTTAATACCGTAACCCTCACAATATTCTGTGTGCCTTCACTACATATAGGAAACGACTAGAATATATACATATGTTCATTGATAACAATTTATTGTTCAACTTCTACGTTAAACCTCTATTTGTGTTGCTTATAATATTAAATCATAAAACAATAACATCGAAAACAGTGTTCAATTTATACGCTCACCATAGTGATATAATTGATTACAATGGCATTTATTGCAAATAAAATTTTAAACGAAAGTTAGAAAGTCTGGTATAATTGTTCTTTAGAAATAAATATGACGTATATGTATAATATGTATATACTAAGATCAAAGACTTACTTGTATGCTATAAAGGGCACTGTCATAGAGCACGTGGAAGGTTAGGAACAGTGATAAAAGAGTTACGGACAGGAGGGCCGCGGCTAACTTCGGCCGCGACACTCCTACCACAAGCACGCAGTCTGCCAGTTCGCCCTCCGCCGGCCGGAACGATGACCGCGGTAACCATCTACATGATAAATAATATTCAAAGAACAGTACATATTTGAGAATAATCCCTTAAAATAGTGTAAGAGAAAATCCTTTTGCAGTAAATCTTTTATGACATAAAACGACAAAGTAACAAATAGTTATTGGCCATGAAAACTGAGCACCTCCAAGTTTTTTTTTTCAGTTACCGATTGAATAGCACTTGACTACATAAACTACAAAATAAATAAACTATATTTATGATTTTCTTGGGATGTTATAATTACTACGTACAAATCATTACAAAATAAAGTTTTTATCAAATAGGTACGTTTTTAGGTACATAAATGGTTAAAAAACATATAATCATAAATGAAAAGATAGAAAAAAGTTTAATAACTTACAGAATATCAAGCGGCAATGATTGCGAACAGCTTGACCTGTAGTTAGCCTCAAGACGGTTTTTGTTCAGCAGCGACTGGTTCATCTGCGCCCGCGACTCCATGTGGCTTCCATTTATTTTAATCTTCACCTCATCTACATTTCCCGAGTTTCTCGCTTTGTAATGATACGAATCCCTTTCGTAACTTTTTTGTTTTGTTAATAATAAATAAAGTATTTTGTCTTTTGTCCCTGCAATAAACTTCTCTTCAAAATATTGTGATTTGTCATTAATTTTTATTATCCTTGTATTCATGCAATAATTTTATAACAATACAATTATTTATGGATACTGAAACGGTTCCATATATTCTAGGGCCAAAAAGTAAAGAAATGAAAACAGTTTCAGTTATTGCGATCATATGTATTATGTAGTGACTTGCTAAAAAAATCTGGAAGTTTTGCATATCTGAGCATTGAGTTATAAAAGTGAATGTTTGTTTCTTTTATTAGGTTTGAAAGCTTTAACAAATAGTAAGATTGCTACAGACTGTTTTGATAAAGATCTCCGCGTCAATCACCAGACATATTAATCCATCAATACGAAATTATAGAATGTCTGCTTGGCGATGGAAAAGTACTAAAAATATCAACGTCAGTCGTTACAATGTAGTTATTTTTTCAAATATTCTAAAAACTGACTCAATGAAATTAAATTTCTCGCTCTGGGCTACGTATGTATATCATTCGGTCATGTCACTTTCAACGTTAGTCAGTTGCGGATTTATTTTTTTAATAAACCATTTAGAAAAATAATTTGAATGTACACGAAATCTGTATGCTAATCTTAAAACAAGGAATTTGCTATATATAACTATTATAAAGTGTGACATACCGTACCTATTCAAGTATATTTACGGTGCATAGCGACTCTGAGTTCATTACCTTGTCGTAAATTTCCTTTTTGTATTCTGTGATCTATTAATTAAATCTTTTAATTCTTTTTTTTAGTTTTCTAAGCTTTTGGAGAATTATTGGTGACATTTAGTACTTTAAAACAAAAAAATTCTTAGATTATATTTCAACCTTTTACATTTGGGCCCACCACTTGCAATTTCAGGATTTTTCCTAATTTTGTACGGAAAAAAATAGAAAAGGTAACAATTAAGGATCGCATTTATCTGCTTGTTTTATTGACAATTTCTTCAACATAATATACGTTTCAATAAATATAAATTAATAGTTGAAAGAAAATTTTAATAAGCTACGTTCTTTACTACTTCAGTTTTCTTAAAGTTTTATTTCATAATATAAATACAAGACTAGCACGTGTTTAAAATTGGCTTGAATCCAATAAAATTTGCTTGATGGCCGTATTTAGTAAGCTTTATATGGAGTCGTATAGTATTAAAAATTATCAGTCTCAAGGTTTCTTCATTCAGCATTCTTCGATACGGTTTATATACGAAATTTTATGAATGGCAAATTTGGAAACGGTATTTCTTTTATTACTGAATGTTTTAAACATTTCAATAAGTGAAATAAAAGTCTTGTTCATTGTTATTTCTGTTGCTAAATAAGTATTATATTAATTATATAAAATATAATATGAAGAGATGTAATTTAAACGACTTAATAAACTTAAAATATTAAACAAATATGGATACTAAAGTTGTTACAAAGATAAGAATTGTTTTAATAAAAATGACCAAGGTTGAGTTCAATTTACAATGTAATTTTCATTACAAACCATAATTATATCCTCACTGCGCCACACCTGCAACCAAACATACGTTTTATTTATATGAGAAAATAGGAAAAAAATCTTTATAAGTAAGACTTATAATATTTCCAAAATAAAGAATAAGAAATTCTAGTTAATCAAAGAATATTTACTAAAAATAAGAACATGCTGAATTAAAGTTATCATCCTTAAATTTTATTAACTTTTTTTATAAAATTATCTTCTGTCGCGTCTTACGAACCGTTTTCATGGAAGCATAAAACAAAATGGTCTGTGCATTTATGATATCTCTCTGTGAACATAAAAATCGGAAAGCAAGACCAGTAAATGTTATATGATGTGGGACCGGCTACTTTATTTTATTTTGATGTTCTTGAGAAAGACCAACAGATATTTTAATTTTTACATCTTTAATCCACGTAAATAATTAAAAGATTGCATTTTTTGCTATAAATTTCATAGATGATCGCTAATATGAATATAGTGATTTTAGTAGTGTAGTTTAAAAATATTGTCAATTATCGTAATTAGACAAAAAAAACATTCCAAAGAAAAAACTCACACGTGCCAGATGTTAATCAAATTAAAGTAAAGTGACATAGACTAACACCTACTGTTTTATGTATCTCCACCAAAAGTATTATATTCATTTGTTACAAAAAAACTTTTAGAATATAAATATATCAAACAATTTATAGATCATAAGTAGTATAAAAGAGAACAAAATACATCTGATTTTATGCGTGTCATTAAAATTGAATATCTTGAGGCAATAACAACATTATATCGTAAAATTTAAAAGCACGAACCTTTTGGCAATGAAGTTTTCTATTTCGAGTGACACGAAATGTCATAAAGGCTATGTATTAGAATATAGCTATTTAATAACGTTGGTTATTAGATTATTTTATTGACAATATCTTATTTAGGGATCTCTTAAATAAATGCCAGACACAGTCTTTCTTTTAATAGCATTATTATTGCTATCATTTACGAAAATTATGATTTAGTTTTAAATAATGCAACGTAATATTAAAAATATTTTATAATTTGTCTTAATTTATAATCATAAATCAGTTTAGGTTGAGATGATATTAATCACCAACCATTTTACGACAAGCATTCCGGTTGATAACAAAAGAGTTGGGTGAGACAAAGGAACTTTAGACTCTCACTCCACTTCGTAATATCATATGATTCTAATGTTTCTTAACGTAATATATATGAATTTTATATAACCATATCATAACAGCTATTAAATGATATAGCAAAATAAAAAGATTATTTGAACTTCTGTAAAACGATCGTATCTAAGGACATATCGTATATATGTATATTTTCCCGTGATATATGCATATTCAAGGAAAAAATTCTTATATCATTTTCCTGAAAGTAACACCAACTTTTTCCTACAATAAACTAATTACTTGTTTTATTTTCTCTTTTGTTGATTTTTGTTACAAGGATAATTTAATTAACTTGCAGCCTTAATAAAAGTAGGATTATACAAATAATATGAAATGAGAAAGATATGTACATGTATCATAAGCTAATTAATGGTTTTTATACATTATGAAACAATTTAAATAACCAGTTATATATGAATATGAATGTTCTCATTGATTTACATAGCAAGTACAATGCTGCATGTATTCATTACTTAGAGTAGTAAAAAAATAACTTAGGGCAAAAGCACAACACGTGTATTTAGTTGCAGTTTATAATATCGAGGCCAGCTGTCGCGCGAAGGTTAGGTCAAGGGGAGTGCAAGTATTTATACGACCAGTCAGTAGTTTATAACCATAATAAAGTTGTAAAGAAATATATGATAGAAACGATTTTTATAAATTATATCTTCAAATCATATAGAATGTTTAAGGAACTGCAAGAGGTAGAAATATTGTATTTATAATGATATTGTCTTGTAGCTATTATCCAATGGACCCTTTTATAGAAAAAACAATTATTATTAAACACGAATGCGTACACGTATACTAGATTAAATTTATATCGTCACTATAAGTTTTATCAAAATTATAATAAAATTGTAATATATCATAAATCTTACAACAAAACTATCCTAAGAAAATATGTAGTTCTAAGATCACTCCTAAATGAGTTTCAGAATTACTTAACTTAATATTTGTTAATTATCTATCAAAGAAACATAAACATATCCCAATCTGTATTCAAATTATCAAATTATTCCTGGCATGATTTAACAAAATAATAATTTATACCTGCCAAACAAAGATTTAAGCTAATTAATAAATAAAATTAAGCCCTAAAGCTGCTTTGACGATGAAAAGGTATTTCTAGTCTAACAAAGTTACACCGAATGGGTACCGAAGGAGACCTATGTTAAATAATTTACATAATTTACGTGTTTACAGACGGAATACCGTTCGCCTCTTTTGGATCTTCTGAAGTCTAAACATTCAATTTGAGTAACAAGAAGGATCTTCTTTTACCTAGAAAGCTTTTCATTACCTGCTTATAATTCGGCATCAACAGTAACATTAAGTTAATTTACATTAAACATTAATTACTAATCTCAGATGGTTATCATCAGTCCTAGTAACCGTACATTTACCTTGATGCACTGAATTACTCACTTGGTCTATCCATTAAACATAATCACTTAGATCTTGTTTAATTAAACATAAGCTGAGTAAGTTAAATTAAGTCGTTTTACTTAATTTGATTTTATAAGCTCCAGATTATCTTGTAATAATATTATATTACACGATGCAGTATTAATTTAAAATGTATGAAACTTACAACAGAAGAATATTCTTATTCAGATATTTGATTAAAGTTAAGCAAAATATTTGGATTGTAAAACTGTTTGCATAAAATGTTTCGTTCTGTCAACACTCTCTTGATGGCAATTAAAAGAAACGGTGCTCAATAAAGTTACCAATATTTTACGACCCTTGAGAGAAATGTGGGTTCATGAATTTCTAAAACGGCCAACATGATCCTAATACTGTGTTATAACCAACGATAAATTAGTGTAAAATTTTGTGTATGAGCAAAACATTATATTATAAACGAAAAATGAATTAATTAATGTAAAAAATTTAATAAGGGAATGTAAAAGTTAATCCAAATTTCAAGTTAAATAGATTCCATAGCGGTGTTAACAGTAATAACACTCGACATGTCCTTTAATTGAAATGGCAAAGAGTAATCAACAAATGGAAAACGGCAAAACCCGGAAAGTCGTTTACGTTGGCAGACTTCACATGGTTACAAAATGTTTCTATTGCGAAAAAGATCAGTATTAAGCTGAAAAACTAAACGTTTCACTTTAAAATGAACATTTTATTTGACAGCTTGTGGTCTACGGTGATGTAGGGCATATACTGTCTTATTTGCTTTGGTTCTGTTAAATTGATAGTATAAAAAACTTCGTAATAAGAACATTTTTCTTATATAAAAATTACATTTCCGAAATCTCGATCTCAATAGAACACTTTATTTAAAAAGGTACTCTGAAATTATT